ATGATTTAATATAATCATTTATTAACTGATTGCAATTAATTGCAAAGCCATTATTATAATAACAAAGCTCCCTATTTTTGTAGATGGACATGCTATTACATGTAGTAGTATTTACTCGCATCAGACCAATAAATTATCATATGTTCTCCCTTTTATAATTAATTTTGGATCAAGAACTAAATATTACCCATCAAGGAATTTTTAAATGTGCGCTATATTTTTTACCCATCAAGGAATTTTTAAATGTGCGCTATATTTTCTAATAACTCCACCACTACGCACTAAGTTAGATCCTCAAAAGAGGTTGAGAATATATGTCGGATATGATCTATTATTAAATATTTAGAACTTTCAAATAAGAAAGTTATAGATGCCAAATTTGCTAATTGTTATTGATCCCGACATTGGAGAGAGAAAATAAGTTGGTAGAAAAATAATTGATTGGAAAAGAATTATCGTTATTATATATTGATTCTCATACGAGGCAATATGAATTTAAAAGTTTAAAAGATAATTCATTTTGAAAAATATTACAAATTAATTGTCAGATATATTTCTTGATCCAAAAGAAAAATAAATCTTACATACTAGCTGCAAATGCTCCTATTAGAATTGATGTCCTCGAAGGAAAAACTACCTATGCTAATGAATTTGCGACATGCTTGAAACATGGTAGATTTGGTTCCAAAGATAAAAGAAAAAAAATGAAAGAAAATGAGCAAATATTTAAGATTGTCAAGTTCTAGAAAGTAAATTCTAAAAGAAATAGTGTCACTCTAGTCAAAATGATTATCATTATTAATTCAGTTTGAGATCATTTCATTATATAAAAGTAGAATTAAGTACATAAAAAGTAACATTACAAATAGCTTGTGCGGCAAAATGCAAAATGACAAACCAAATTAATCACCTGCTATTTATTTTAAATTTATTTTAATTTAAATAAAAACTTATGGTTTAATATTATATAGATAAAAAAAATTAAAAGAGTACAAAAAATGAGTATATAACGAGCATAGTCAACAGGCAACGCATGTCATATAAAACACTAATGTGCGACGCATGTCATATCAAAGACTAGTTATATCCAAAAGAACAAATTAAAACAAACTCAAAATTTGTGATGTTATTCCTTTTCTTATTGTTAAATACGTATTAATCCTTATATGTAAATTATATTACGAAAAAAACTTTTGAAGCTAGGACGGTTACAAAATAATAAAAAAAAAAAATCCTAGCCCATCTCTTCTCTCCTCTTCATTAAAATTTTTTAACTGTTTCTCCATCAAAAATACAAGATATGATAACGCCTCCATCTTATTTCTCATCTTATTTCTCTCTTTTTTTTTTTTTTTTTTTTGCATTTTTTTTTTTTTTTTTGCAAATATTTATGTATTTTGTCAAATAAATTATAGATTTATGTTTGTTTGATATGGATCTATATAAATTATATTTCCTTTAATTTTTTTAATTTATCTCCATCTTGATTTAGAGAGTTTGTCTAGTCAATCATTTTAAAATTCTATCAATTTTTCAAGTTCACCTTCCAATAATTTTCATTAGGATTTCATAGATCATTGAATGATAACTATTTTAATTATAATAGTTTTGTTTTATATCCGGTTTCAGGAGAGAGCTTTTGTTCTCTTTGTATTAATTTGAATTGTTATTAATGAAATTTTAATAATATTATATTCGAACAAAATTATAATTTACGGATTGTGACTCGGTTGGCAATGCAAGCTAAGTATGTTGGAAGAACTCTCGAGTTCAATTCCCACTATTCAATTCCCACTAAACACTTAACTGTGACTAAGCCCGCGCTGGTTTGGGCGGTCCTCAGTAATAATATTTGGATATATATACTAGGAGTGCAAATCAACTGCTTGATATTCAGGTCCACGAAGACCTCATTTGAAATCTTTAATAATATTGATCTTCATCTATTAAATTATGAAGCTAGTTTATTAAATCTATTAACGAGTTTTTAAATCTATTTTTTAAGTTAATCGTTTTAAATCTATTTTTTAAGTTAATCGTACTTAGTTTAATAAAGCTTTTCCTCATTTAACCTGTTTAGAAAAAGAATAAAAAATAGTATTGGGTTTGGTGTGATAGTTTTTTTTCCTATATATAGTATTCTCCTCTGCTTCGAATACATGCTCTTCCAACACAAAAAAAAAATGGCTTCTTTTCATCTACATCTGTGGTTATCTCTTCTTCTTCTTCTTCTCTTACCCTTCATTTTTCTTTTGAAAAAGAAACTAAATAGCAAGCACCTTCCACCAGGTCCTCCTAGACTTCCTATAATAGGAAATTTACACCAACTTGGGACCTTACCTCATATTACTCTTTTATGGCAACTGTCCCAAGGAAATATGGTCCTGTCATGCTTCTTCCAGTTTGCGTCAACAAGTTCCTACACTTATTATTTCTCCTCTGCAGAAGCAGCAAAAAGAGCTTATCAAAAATAAAATGACCTCAATAGTTGTAGTAGCACCTCGCTTGGCTGGTACTGGGAAGATTATCTTACAACTATCTTTGATCTTGATATAGCTTTTACACCTTATGGAGATTACTGGAGAGAAATAAAAAAGATTTGTGTTCTTGAACTTTTTAGTGCTAAAAGAGTTCAATCGTTTCAATCCGTTAGAGAAGAAGAAGTGGGTCTTTTCATAGGTTCGATTTTAAAAGCTTCTTCTTCTTCTTCTCCTGTGGATCTTAGTGAAAAAATTATGTCTCTTACTGCAAATGTTACTTGTAGAGTAGCTTTTGGGAATAGTTTTGCAACAAGAGGATTTACCCAAGAAAGGTTTCAAGAAGTGATTCATGAAGCTTTAGCCAAGTTAGGGGGTTTTTCTGCATCTGACTTTTTTCCTTATGTGGGTTGGATTGTTGATAGGGTTACAGGTCTCCATTCAAAACTGGAAAGAAGCTTTCAAGAACTTGATGAATTCACTTGATGAATTTCCACCCAGAAGATTATTGAGGGATCATATTCCAAAACGGGGAAAAGAGAGCGCATGGACATCAAGATATGTCATTTTTGTTGGATTTTTGTGAGAGATATCAAACTAGAATTCTGAAGGAATTCAATTCCTCTAAAAGTCACATCGGAAAGCAATTATCATGGTTAATATTCCTATTGATTCTTAAAAACTTTGTTTTGTTAAGTGGGAATTAAATTAAAAAAAGAAATAGAAATAGCTAGTCAATATTGTTTTTCATCAAAATATTTTTTTTTTTTCATCAAATATTGTTTTTTATAAATTTGAAAAATATCTATTACATATAATGAATTATTTTATGATTAAACATTCAACTAAAATTTAACATTATAAATTTGCTATTGGTTAAAATAGTTATTCCAAGTTTAAATTTGAATCAAAATGATGAATAGCTATTCTCTGTGATAACAATAATGCTCTCTTCAAATTCCACAATATTGTATGGTTCAAACAAGACGTTAATCTCTTCGTTCTTTAATTCTTTTTCTTCTTTTGTTTGCTAGTTATGAAATAATTGAATTGATTTGTCTAGACTAAGTCCATGGGTTTACTCATAGCCCAAGCCAATGAAAAAAGAGTAAAACTATATTTCATTGTTGAATCAAAGCATTTACAATCTAACAAATCAATTAATTTACAATTAACTCTCACTGATAATTTCTGATAAAAAAATTTTAGAATTCATGAGCAATCCTTAGTTCCGACTTCAATTTTTGACACTGTTAAATATTTCAATGAAATATGTACACATGTATATCAGAATATATTCCTAGGTGGAGTGGACACTGGAGCAATAGTATTAGTCTGGGCTATGGCAGAACTTGTCAGAAATCCTCGAGTTATGAGAAAAGCACAAGAAGAAATCAGACGATTAATTGGAGACAAAACAAAAGTATCTGAAAGAGATATTAACAAGCTTGAATACCTAAAGATGGTGGTAAGTATCTGAAAGAGATATTAACAAGCTTGAATACCTAAAGATGGTGGTGAAGGAAACACTGAGATTGCACCCACCAGGAACACTACTAATTACGAGAGAAACCATGTCACAATTTAGCATCAATGGCTATGAAATTTATCCCAAAACTCGAGTCCATGTCAATGTATGGGCAATTGGAAGAGATCCAAAAACTTGGAAAAATCCCGAAGAATTCTTTCCAGAGAGATTTATTGATAACTCCATTGATTTTAGAGGGCAAAATTATGAATTTTTACCATTTGGTGGTGGCAGGAGAGTCTGTCCTGGTATAACTATGGCATTGTCTTTGGTGGAGATTGCGCTTGCAAACCTTTTGTTTTGCTTTGATTGGAAGTTACCTGGCAATATGAAGGAGGCAGACATTAATATGGAAGAGGCATCTGGTTCTGGGGCATCTGGTTCTGGCCTTACTACTCATAAGAAAGAAGCTTTATTGCTTGTACTAATTAAATATGAACTTGCATGAAAAAGAATAAATGTCTCAAATAGCCTGCTATGTTTAATATAATGTTAGTACGCATGTGCTTAGTAGTCTTCTTATTGGTTTATTTCACTGTTTAAATCATGACGTAAGGGAGTATCCTATTCATGACGTAAGGGAGTATCCTATCCTAAACTTAGCTTTTAATTTCTTAGAGCTTGGCTCTCCTCTTGTATAATAAAATAAATTTTAGGGATGAAATTAATAAATAATTTGTTTGATTTGTGAATTTAATGGTAGAATATTTTTATATTCAAAATAGTGTACGAAAAATTTTACCTAAACCCGGTCTATAGCCTCATTCATGGACTAAACCAATAGAATAAGATTTCTCGTTGAAACAATGATATTTTTGACTATACATTTGGAAAAAAAAAAAAAAAGGTTGGAATACTTTTTAAAAAATTCTTACTATTATTGGTTTGATCCGTAAGCGTGGCTATAGACTCCGTTTAGGCAAATAATTTTCTATTTATTAAACATAAATTTAATTGAAAGTTGAATAGTATGTTTATTAGGATAAATAAATCTAGTTAAAGGGATCAGTAATAGATTTTTTTTTTTTTTTTTTCAGGTAAAGAACTATGAAAGTTTGTTATTTTAATGTTTATTAGGATTGAACCGATGGTCCCGATGTCCAGCAGGCTGATCCGCACAGGCCTGATTGGCCAGGACCATTTTTTTTTATATTTTTATTATATTGTAATTATTTTAAATTATAATTATTTAATTGTTATATATTATTAATATTTTTATGACTCACTAATTAAACCATGACCTACCTTAAACCATGACCTACCTCTTAAACCAATGATCCCTTCGTATTTTGCATCCATACTTGCGAAAAATCATGCGCAAGGATCAAGTAAGGAGCCTCATTTCTGCAGGTGTGGACGGCAAAGTTGGATTCACAATTCATGAATGGATAGTAATATAGGTAGGAGATTTGGTACTTGTGAGAACTAGAGATGGACATATTACGGTTCCGGGAACCGTAACCGTTGGTTCGAACCGGTCTGGAACCGTAACCGGAACCGGTGGGAATCGGAACCGGGCCGAATCAGAACCGGAGAATTTCGGTTCCAAATTTTCTGGAACCGGAACCGGTGATTATTTCAATTATAAAGTGTAAAATAGCAAACAAAAGCTTATATTCTGGCCTAGTTTCGTCCACAAGCTAATGCTGCTACTTTTGCAGATTGGCATGCCAAACTTGGTCATGCTAATTCTGGTCTGGTTCATAATGTTATTCGTTCTAATAAATTAGCTTGTAATAAAAAGACATCTCCTTTTGTACCTTGTGATGCGTGTTTTTCCAGCAGAACGCATAACCTTCCATTTCCTGATTCAATTTTTCAGACGACACGACCACTTCAATAATTTGTTCTGGGGACCCTCACCAGTCGCATCAGTTGATGGCTATCAATATTATTTTTATTTTATGGTCACTATAGCTATAGCAAATATTCATGGGTCTGCCACTTCAATTAATTTGTTTTAGGGACCCGCATCAGTCGCATCAATTGATGGCTATCGATGTTATGTTTTGTTTTATGGTCACTATTGCAAATATTCATGGGTCTATTTCTTAAAACAAAAATCTGATGTTTTACTTTTACCAACCTTCATTCAAATTCCCCAACTTGTGAAAAATTATTTTAATATATCCCAACTTGTGAAAAATTATTTTAATATATCAATTCAAATGTTACAGGCTGATTAGGGACGTGAGTTTCAGGCATTATCTGGTTATTTATGTGCAAATGCTATTACCCAACATGTGTGGTGTGAACAAAACGGTTGTGCTACATCTCTCAAATACATGAAGTTAAACGTACTTACTAATATTATTAATCATTAACTACTTAATCATTTTCTTTCATATTATTGTTCTCTTCATTGATAAAGCTAGCTCTTTAACCATAGTTGCACTTTCCAATCTGAAGTTCTTAGCCGAGTTAGTTTATAGATTGAAAGACAACCAACTAATTTTAGATCCAAAAGGTCAATTACCATAATTTTAGACCTTTTTTTATAATTTTATTTTTGCAATATTCATATTCTTTTTATTTATTAAAGGTCAAATAGGCCAAAATGTTATGAACTATATAATATAATAAGATTGCTTAAATTTCGGCCAAATGTATAAATTCACTCATGTATTTAACAAAAAAAATCTTATGGTCCTCAACTCTTGAATACTTCAATTTGAAAAATTTTTTAATTAAACACTCCAACTTTCAACTTGCAAAATTTTGTCCTTTTCAAATAAAGGAAAATAAATTTATTTTCTTTCCTTCATTATATCCAAACACAAGGATGAAAAATAACAGTGAAAATAAAAGTGACAATTCTTGATTATTATTTTCCTTTTTCCAATATTGTTTTTATCTCTCCTTTCCAAACAAAGGGTAAATGAATTAAGGTCATCATTGTTTAAAAAAGAATAACTGAGAGTATCCATCCAAAAAAAAAAGTAATCAATAATTACAAAAATATTCAAAATTTAAACTTTTTATTAATGTTTTATAGTTTAGTTAATGATTTTCCGAGGTTATTATTTTTTTTAATTTATTATTTGTTTAAAAATAAATTTGAACGTGTACTCATTCCATGCCCAGTTATAAATATTTTATAAATATACCAATATACAAATTTATATGATTAGATCAAATAGGATGGAATTAGTTATCCAAAAACACTCTATTTATTTATCTCGCTAATTAAATTTCTCTTTGGAAGAACAAACTGTACAAATCTTATATATTTCTAAATCATTGTTAATAGAAAATAGTTGGTGGGTTTGGTATTATTTTTCTTGTTTAAATTTTGAGGAATGAAAACCGAACTTTAATGTGTATTCTTACCCAGTCAAATGATTAATCCACCTATGCTTAGCCAAGGCATTCTATATATATAGTTATATACACAATGGTTATACTCCCTCTTCTTCTAGTATATGCACTTCAAAATAGAAACATAGCTACCAATAATGGCTTCTCTTCCTCAGCATGTGTGGTTAGCTCTTATTCTTCTTCTTTTCCCCTTACTTTTTCTAATCTTACAACTGCAGAGTCACTAACTGTTTGGTATTACATGGCCTTTTTATACCCACATTATTTACATAGTAAAATAATTATGGAAACTAAGGAAAATTTCTCTATTTGCCCTGCCGCCGAAGAAACATAGCCTAAATCGAATTAAAGAAAAACTTACTTCCTTGAAAAATCAAACAAGACATGTGAATTTTCTAAGGAGTAAATAAATTATGCCACAAACACACGCAGTCACAATTATTGCACAACACACGCAGTCACACAAATATGTAAACATTTCAATCTAGTCATCCGACTAGTTATATGCTCACGCAGCCAGTCACACAAATTACACATACCAGCACTCACACGTAATGTCACTTTCAAGTAATCAAGCAAGTGGTAATTAGTCAGTGGCACCACTTGAAACCCAAACGAGCCGTCCTCACACATGGCTCGCCCTCTCGTACATGTGCACTAGGGAGCCGATCCCCCATACGGCCAACTGGTCTAATGCTCACTGACCAGTCCTCTCATTGTTTTTCCAGTCTCTCGTTTCTTTTCCATATCAACAGGAGGCAACCCGGTGGTCTCCATCCAATCTAGATTATCAAAAGTGCTCACAACAGGAGGCCCACCCTGCTGTCTACAATCAAATCTAGATTATCAGGTCGCGGCAACAACAAGAAGTCAATCCTGTAAAACCCCATATAATCTATATCATCAGGTGCACAAGGGGGCGCCATCTCCCATTTTTCCGGCCCGACAGTCAAGTATCATATCGTAATTCAGATCCATATCACAAGGACCGTCCTCACAAACCCATGGTTGGTCCACTTCATCCCCAATTCCACCACAAACAAAGCATTAGCATTTCACAAACACAATTAATCCAAAACATTGCCAATCAAATGCAGAATCAAATGCAGACATATTGATCAGTTGAACATCGTAATGCAATGCACAATTAGACATCCATTCTCAAATGCAATTAAATAATTAAATAAATACCAGTAACAATAAACAACAACAATAAAATAAGTGATAACAATAAACAATAACAATGAAAATAATTAAATACTTAAATAATTAAATGAATAATAAAGATAATAAATAAATAATTAGAGCACCCTATTTATTATGCATTAGGTTATAGAATTAATCTAAGTAAACTTTTTAGTTATGTTATTAATTAAAACTAGTTTAAGTTCTAACAAAATTTCGGCAGCACCTCTCCTATAATTTAGACTATCCACCTGTTTAGATAACACAATATTATTATATATTTATCAATCAATACACACAACCCATCCGTCGGGCAATCAAACAAATTTATTTCCCTTCCTCCATCCAAAGCAATCACATTAATATTTAATCGTCAATGCCAAACTTTAACTTACTATATACAAACTTTAACCTTTACTATTATAATGTTAAGAAAATTAAATAAAAAAAGCAAATTAGTGAAAATGCTAATTTGCTTTAACATCAATTCTACTTAGTTTAAAACTATCCAACTGTATTTACTGTTAACAAATCATATACACCCTATAACTTATATATTCCTTGTCATAATTAACTGGGGGGTCTCATGATTTCAGTTATTGACCTGTAAATTATATCCTCATCAAACAAAAACCATATGCTACTAACTCATTTAACCGTGTATCAATTATAATTAAAAATTTTACACATCAAAATAGTTAAGAAAATCTTAAAAGTACACTCGTTATATATATTTGTCCTACTGAAACAACACAAAAGATCTCAAGGTAGTTGCTGCCGATATACAAAAAATTCAGAGTTCTCCTATGCTGAAATCATAGATTACCACCCACATTAAACCAAATCCTTTTGCAAAAAAATTAAAACTTACAACCCCATATGGTACTATTATCCAAGCAATACTTATAGGAATAATTAAAAAATAGTTGTGCTACCATTTCAAGAAATTCTCCATTTTTATTCAATCCTCGATCATTAAACCACATTAAACAACCAAGTTATGAAAGACATAGTTCTACAAAAGACATAGTTCTACCACCAAATATGGACTTAACTCAACAAAAACTATAATCTTCTTTAGCTAGAGGCTGCCACTTTAAATTCAATACTCAATTCTAATCTAAAGCTACATGACTCACTTCAAAACACGCACTAGAATGTGTTTTAATTATAGTTAGTAAATAAAATCAACCTTTTCCTAAAATTTATATATATGAGAAGAGGTATGGAGCATAAAATGCAACCAATTTTTTTAATAGAAGTAGATTACCTAAAAATGCATTGAGATAAGAAATATTACATGTAGGCTAAACTTGTCCCAAGTAACTAATATTCCCAAGTAACTAATATTCTAAAGGAGGCAAAAATATTCCTTACTCATGTTTAATAAAAAGAATATGTTATATTAGTTTTGGCTAGAAATAACTTACTTTAGAAAATTTACATATAATTTATTCTTATGATTAATAATTTAGATATTGATTAAATTCGCAATTAATTATTCCATGCTTTTTCAAGAACATTTTATTGCTTGAGGACAAGCAATAGTTTAAGTTTGGGGAATTTTAATAGTGTTGATTTTTATAGTATGTTTATTGTAATTTTTATTGGAATTTCTATTACTTTTAATTTATTTAAATTAGTTTTTTTATGTAATATTGATATGTTTTTATTCAAAAGCTTCCTTTAATCATTAATCAACAACTCACCTTGATTGAAAGAAACTTGGTAGGATTTTGCAAAGAAAAGAAACAAATAAAGCAAAGGTACAAATGGCAAGCGCCCCCGGCCCCCGTGTCGAGAAGGCACGGCCGTGTCTGGCACAAGGCGAAGACATAACCAAGAGACAGAGAGATGCACGCCTAAGCCGTGCCGAGGAACACGCCGTGCCGCGCTAGCCTGCCTAGGGCCGTGCCTGCGGAACACGCCCGTGCCTCATGTGCCTCTGACTCCCAGAGACGATGCCACGCCCCGCCCCGTGCTACCACACACGCCGTAGCGTCGCTATCCCCAGACTTCCAGGAGCAGTGCACGCCCCAGACGTCGCCAGGCAGCACGCCCGTGCCAATCAAGAAAACTTGAAATTCAGTCAAAAGTTTGCAACCTACTTCTAACCAAATTATGAAGCCATAATTTTGGATCAACTTCTCCTTCACTGCAAACCAAGAATCAACTCTATGCACATGGGTGAATCATGATTAAAGAACAATATACACCTAAAAAAGAGAGATTTACAACCTAACAAAAGAGAACTTTGACCATTAAACCTTATGGAATCATATACCAAAGAAGTCCTATATAAAGAAGAGGATAGTTCATCTCAAGGATCCAATCCCCCATCACACCACATTAAACATTCATCCTTCTTACTTCTCTCTCCTCTCATAAGGCCCTGTATATAGTCTTTTTTAGAAGTTAGGCATTGAAGAGTTGTTCAAGTGTTTCAAGGAAGCCATCCAAGCAACCTATCACTAGTTCTTATTCTAAAATCCTTACTCTGCTTGTTGATTTCTTTCAAATCATCTTTATTGTTAATGGAATATTTTATCCGTTTGTTTGAGTTTTTATTTAAGTACTATGTGTAACTAATTTCTTATACTTAGGGGTTTGATGTAGGCTAAATCTCTTTTCCAATTTTATGCAAATTAGATTTATTTTTTCCTTAATTCAAGTTATGATTTTGTTAATGATCTTAATGCTTCTGGCAAATTGTCCCTAGATTGATTTATTTCAATTATCATAAATCGGAAGAAGGATTTTTGATAAGAAAGTTTAATAAATGCACATGAGAAATAAACACTTGGAATGCGGAAGCTATATGGTTTGACTCATGGGGGGTTTTCATTGAATGTAACAAACCCTTAGTTTATGGATTCATAAACAAACTAAGCAAAACCTAATGATTTAATTTATATTTGATTGCGCCTTATTGGTAAAGATAGGTATTAAATGGAATTAAAATAACTAACAATCATCGGAAGAGCTTGTTAGTTGAAATTCAGAGTTGTTTCCTTCCTTCCTCTACTTGAATCATTAATTGATTTAATGAATTAATGAAATAATTGGATAGAGTTAAGTGAAAATCAAAACCCTAGTAGTTTTTTTCTCCTTGATTTCTTTTTAATCAATAATTGCCTCGCTTAACTTCTTATTCTTACTTGTTAAATTAAATTTCTATAAACAATTTCCTCCGTTTAATATCGTTTAATAATAACAAGATAACATAATTTGGTACTTGGATTCCAATCCTCGTGGGAACGATATCTCACTCATCCATATATTACTTGTAGCGATTCGTACACTTGCGAAACAAGCTGTCAAGTTTTGGCAGCTGTTGCCCGGGGATTGGTCAGCCAATATCAATACGAATCATCCTGTTAATTAATTTTAGACATTTATTTATTTGTTTTTTTTAAGTATTAATTTCTCTGTAGACTATCTCAAAGGTTTTTAATGCAAAGAAGATCCTAGAAAAGGACAGAACCTCTGATCTTTGAATCCAGAAATTGAGAAAACCTGCAGAAGGAACAACGCAGCAGGAGAAGCACAAGAAAACAGAACCGAACAAACAATCAAAACATGAACGAAAATAATCCTCCACCTCCAGAAATGCCTCTTGCTGCAAATCCTCAGAATGGACAAAATGTCGCGCACTTGCGGGATTACAACACAACCTTCTCATTAAACGGAGCTTAACCTCCAGCAATCACTAGACCAAGAGGTTGGAAGCCAAATAATTTTTGAAATTGAGAGAGCGCGCGCGCGAGCAAATAATACAATGCTTTCCCACTTCTATTCATATGGAGGACTCCCTAGTGAAGATGCCTAATGCTCACAATCACCAATTTCCTGGAAATTTGTGATTAACTTTTTAAACAAAATGGTGTTTCTGACGATGCCATTAGATTAAGACTCTTTCTTTCCACTCTGAAGGACAGCAACGATCATGGTTACAAATCTTGTCCTGCTGGGAGTTTTTACAACTTGGGGAAGAGTTTGCCAGAAATTTTTTGGCTAATTCTTTCCATCTTCTAAAACCACCAAATTAAGAAATGAGAATCATGAACTTTTGCTCATGCATGATCAAGAAAGCTTGTATGAGGCTTGGAAAGAATTTAAAGATTTGTTGAAGAAAATGTCTCCACCATAGTTTGCCCAAATGGTTTACAAAGTCAAAACTTTCTCTAATTCATTGTCACCTAACATTAAAATCCACTTTGATGCGCTGCAGGAGGATCTTTGAAAGAAAGAGATCGATGAGGCATATGATTTATAGAAGAAATGGCAAGCATACCATTAATCAAAGCAGTTCTGAAAGAAGAAAAAAGCTGCTGGAATCTATGAAATAGATGCCATCAGCTGCACGCAATGCCAAAACGTTTGATAACAAATGGTAAGAAAGCTCGATTTGCTAACCACTAAATCTATGAACTTATCATGCAAACTTGTGCAATGCCAATGAACCGATGGAGTTGGAGAAATGCATGATAAGATTCTTGCAATCCACAAACTTGGAGCAAGTGAACTATGTGATGAATCAACAAAGGAGGAACTACCCATAATTCGAATCGCCTACGATAACAGGTTGAGGGAAATCATCCAAACCTTTCTTATGGTAATTTCTTAAACCAACACTTTAAATGCACCACCAAGGTTTCTTGCATCCGGAGAAAAAGTCTCATGATGATCTCCTGTCCTCACTGCCCTTTCAAAAATCGCAGCATGGATTTTCAATGAACGAAACAAGAGAACACAAACAAAATCCAACAAGCCTGCGGATAGAGAAAATCTGGAGATCCAAATGGACGTTTGCTAAACAATGAATGGCAGCTCGACCCTCAAGGTACGTTACCTAGTAACACTGAGAAAAATCCCTAGAAAGGTAAGCCATACCCTTGAGGAGTGGTAAAGAATTGAAAGACAAGCCCAGAAAGGGAAAGAGAAAGAGGAAAGAGAAGGAAAAGCGCCTATCATTTGATCTGGTGGAGAAGGAAGAAGTGAAACCGTACGTTCCACCCCCATTTTCCAACAAAGGTTGAAAAAAGACCACAGGATGACCCAAAGCTTCTTGAAAATTTCTAAGACGTCTTTCAAAAAGCTTCAAAATAACATTCCCTTTTGCTGAAGCTCTTTGCTTCAAAATGGCCAAGCTATGCAAAACTTCTTAAAGGAAATCTTGAGCAAGAAAAGAAAGATCGATGACCAAGGAATGGTAAAACTGACTGAGGAATGCAGTGCGATCATTCAAAACAATGCCACCAAAGCTTAAAGATTCCCAGGGAGTTTTTTCTATCCTTGTAAACAATTGGCACTTTAAAATTTTTGAAAAGGCTTTAGCTGACTTAGGAGCCTAGCATAAATCTGATGTCTTATGAAGTTTTTAAAAACATGCTAGGTATGGGGGTCAAGCCAAAACAAGGAATGTCTCTACAATTGGCAGATCGATGGATCAAATATCCAAAGGAAATTAATCGAGAACGTACTGGTCAAGCGAGGAAAATTCATTTTTCCAAGTAAGATTTTGTCATCGCCTTGACAATTGATGAAGGAAGGAAGGATCATTGAATTCCTTGGGAAGATGACCTTTTCTTGCCAACTGGCAAGACAGCTCTAATTTGATGGTACATGATGGGAAACTGACATGAGAGTAGGTTCAAGAAGAAAGTCGTTTTTCGAATGTATTCAAATCTTGTAAAATTACCTAATGGACCCTGCGAATGATTGCTTTAGGAATAGATGTAATAGATACATGTGTAGATAAAACTCTATATGCATAGACGTAACAGCAGAAAGAAAAAGGAAAAAGAAAGAAGACAACCACCTTAATCCAAGAACTGAAGCAAAGCTTCCTCGTCATTTGAAACGCGTGCATTTTCTAGGTGAGAAACAACTCCCTTTCCTGTTATTATTTCCTCTCAATTTAACGCTTGATTCAAGAGGAAGGATTGTTGCAGGTTCTTCGAAAGCACAAGAAGGCAAATAGGGATGGTCATTTCCCTGATTTACAAGGAATAAGCCCAAGTGTAATGCATGCATAAAATTCTTATGGAAGATGACTACAAACCTTCAATCGAACATGCAAAGAAAACTGTTTGGAAATCCGAACATGAAGGAGGTGGTGAACTGAAATCATAAAAACTTCTGGATGCCGGTATAATCTATCCAGATCTCCCGATAGTAGTTGGTAAGGTCCTATTCAAGTGAGTTGCCAAAGAAGGGAGTTATGACTGTCATCTTTAATGAACCACAATGAGTTAATTCCCACTAGAACAGTCTAGGTGGCGTGTGTTGCATCGATTAACAGAAATTAACAAAGGCACACGTAAAGAACCATTTTCCCTACCTTTTATTGATCAAATGCCTTGAAAGACTTGCAAGGTTATCTTCTACTTGTTCTTTGGACGTTATTCCCGGTACTTTCAAATACCCATTGCTCAGAAGATCAAAGAAAACTACTTTCCAACTTGTCCCTTATGGCACTTTTTGCCCTATAGGAGAACTGCCCTTCGGAACTAGTGCAATGCTCCTGCACTTCCAAAGATGCATGATGTCCATATTTTCTGATATGGTTGAGAAATCCATTGAGAATATTTATGGATGATTTTCTGTATTGTTCTTCTTTCTTTCGATGCAATGTCCCTTTATAAATCTATCTTTAAGTAATGCAACGATGTGAAGATACTAACCTTGTGTTGAATTTGGGAAAATGTCACTTCATGGTTTAGTGAAGGTTATTGTACATATGGGGCATAAAACTCTCTCAACAGGAATTGGAAGTTAGACAAGCCAAGTCGAGGTAACTTGAAACTACCTCCTCCTAACTGAGTGAATAGGATAAGAAAGTTTTCTTTGGTATGCAGGGTTCTACAGCAGGTTTATATCCAAAGACTTCTCAAAATCACAAAACCGCTTATTTGTAATTTATTTAGTTAAAGATGTCCTTTCAATTTTGACAAAGAATGTTTAGATGCTTTTAACAGATTAAAGAAGAGTTTAATCTCAGCACCTATCATCTACCACCCAGATTGGAACTCATCACCATTTTGAACTTAATGTGTGATGCTAGTGATCATGCTTGTTGGAGCTGTTCTTGGCATGTAAAGGAAAGAAGTTGCATGTCATTTTTATGCCTAGTCGCACATTTGA